AGGAAGAGGAGGAGGAGGAGGAGGAGGAGGAGGAGGAGGAGAAGGAGAGGAGAAGAGGAGGAGGAGGAGGGGAGGAGGAGGAGAAGGAGGAGGAGGAGGAGCAGGAGCAGGAGCAGGAGCAGGAGCAGGAGCAGGAAGCAGGAGGAGGAGGGGAGGAGGAGGAGGAGGAGGGAGGAGAGGAGGAGGAGGAGGACGAGGAGGAGAGGAGGAGGAGGAGGAGGAGGAGGAGAGGAGGAGGGGGAGGAGGAGGAGGAGGAGGAGGAGGAGGAGAGGAGGAGGAGGAGGAGGAGAGAGGAGGAGGAGGCGGAGGAGGAGGAGGAGGCGGAGGCGGAGGCGGAGGCGGAGGCGGAGGCGGAGGCGGAGGCGGAGGCGGAGGAGGAGGAGCAGGATGAGGCGGAGGAGGAGGAGGAGGAGGAGGAGGAGGAGGAGGAGGAGGAGGAGGAGGACGCCTGGGGGGCGGGCGGGCGCCTGGGGGGGTAGCGGGGTGGGCAGGAGTGCGGGAGCGCTGCTGCGCTCCGACGAGGAAGCGTAGAGCGCGCGCGCGCCGGCGGCGGGAGGGGCTCACGCGCCCCCACACACAAACGCGCTCCGATCCCAAGGCCAGGCCGTGCCGCAGCCGACTCTGCGGCAACACGGCGCGGGCCCGCTGCCGATAGTTCGGCCTGGCTAGCTTTCGGCGGCGAGCGAGGGGGGAAACGAGAAGGGGAAGGTCTTCTCATAGGGCAGACTTCTCAAAAGCCCTCGCGCCATCTGGGAATGTTTCGGTGTCCCTGGGGCAGGCTTAGGGAACTTCTCAGAAGGCACGGGGACTCGCGAGCCTTCCGAGAAGGCCCGCCCGTTCTCACTCCCCCCCCTCGCCCGCCGCCGGAACTTGATGCCCATGCACGCGCCCTCGCCCCCCGCGGCTCCGTCGCTGGAGGGCCAGCGCGGGCGGGGTGGGGAGGGAGTCGGACGCCGCGTGCAGCCGGGCCGAGGTACAAGACCAAGGTCGGTTCGGGGAGGGTGCCCTAGTGTTCTTCGTGCCTGTTGGATGCTCTCGCGCATCCTGGAGAGGGTGCCCTTCGAGGTTCTGTTTGCTTGGGCCGGTGGAGAGTCTCATGTTCTTGAAGGGTGTTCTTCTGGCCTAGGTCCGACTGCAATCAGGGGCTGACAATGGGGGGGGCAGCGAGGGCTGCAGAAAAAGGGCCCTGCAGGGCCTCGAAAGGGGGCCCTTCAGGCCCCCAAAAGGGGCCTGTCGGGCCCGAGAAGTGCACCTCTCTCCCCCCCCCCATCTTATCGCCCCCCCATGGGCGACGCCCCCCCAAGGGAAGGAGGAGTTCAGCTCACCCGAGCCAGCCGGTCGCGGTGTTGCTGCTTCGGCCGTGGCAGGGAGGTGGCCCTGGGGCCCCCTCGCGAGAGGAAGACGAGAAGGCGCTGACGGCCTCCCTTGCTTCGGCCGTCTTCCTGACTCCCTCTCTCCCCCCTCGCCGCTCCCTCTCCTGGGGCGGCTCAAGGGGGGGGGGGGGCCTCCCTTCCCAGGGGCGGTTCAAGGGGGGGAGAGGGGGAAGGGGGAGTCGGGCAACTCGATGGCCGAGGAGCCCTGTCAGCTCCGTCATCCCATCGCGCGTCATTCCACGGTCCGCCCACTGTTCACCGCATCGCACGGGGGAGTTTCTGGAGGACCAAGGTGGGGACAGAAAGAACGTGGGGGCGAAGACCGACAGGCAAGCATCGACCTGAACGGTGTTCGGGCGATGTCGTGGGCCGCGGTCGTTGCGATCTCGTTTTGCGGAGGAGGCGTATGGAGGACAAGACGAGGGAGAACGAAAACGAAACGAGAACGAGCACCACTGTTTAGGTCGATCCCTGGACGGACCGCAGCGTCTGCTGCTTCCGGACGGTGCCCGACGCCAGCGTCGCCGCGGACGTTTGTCCACCCGAGGCGGGCGCCGCCTGCCCCGCAGCGGTCGCTGCCGGTGCTGGGCAGCGTGTGCTGCTTGTCATCGTGCCACTCGTTTCCGTCACCATCTCGAGCGTGCCGGGGGGGAGGGGGGGGAGGGACAAGCTGGGTGCGCTCGCGCCACATGTGGCATCCTGCGTCGTCCTCCCGCCCATCTCTTCCCGTTGCGTTGAGTGCTCTTGTGCCCGCCGCCCGGGGCATCCGAGGGGATCTCGACGCCCCAAACGACCCCTATCATGTGGTGCGCAAGGAGGAGGCGATGATCCAGGTTGCTGGTCATCGTCCCCCCCCGTCTCCCCCCTGATTATTCTTCTCCTCCTCGCGCGCCCCCGTCCCCCCCCTCGTCCTCTGGTCCTCCCCCTCCCCTTTCCCCCCTCTCTCCGTTCCGCCAGTCGTACGTTGTCGTCGTACGTCGTCGTCGTCGTCGGTCGTCGTCGTCGTCGTCGTCGTCGCCGTCGTCGTCGTCGTCGTCGTCGTCGTCGTCGTCGTCGTCGTCGTCGTCGCCCGACTAGACTTGATTCAGAAACGGCCCGACCCTCACAGGGCTTGCCTTGGTCAATTCGAGCTGCGTCCAGTCGCGGCCACGAGGGCCTCCGCGCCCAAGCCTCCCGGGCGGCGACGTCGCCCTTGCCGCCCATCCTCCCCGCTCTCGATCCCCGAGCCCCTCCTCCCCTCGGGGGGGGCCACGAGGGGGGGTGATGCCTGGGGGGGGTGGGGATGTCATGGCGGGGGCCATGACATCTCCCCAGACTTCATGGCGCCTCTTCTTGTCGCAACGCGTCCCCCCCCCCCTGGGCCGCGCACATGCCGCCGGCCATGATCTGCGCCACTCCCCCATCTTGGACGCCTCCCGCTTGGACGTCCCCGATCCTCCGCCTCCTCCACGTGGGGCCTGACGATGGCGACCTCGCCTCGGGTGCGACACCCGCACGGGGTTTGACGATGCTGGCTTGGCCATCGACACGTCGGTGAACGCCTGCGACGTCAAGCGCACCTTCCATCGGCGGCACGCCCAGGGCGGAAGTGAGCTGGGGCAGGCCTGCTCCGACGGCGGCGTGGACAGGAAGCTTCTCAGGAGGCCGGAGGGCTTCTGAGGAAGAGGAGGAGGAGGAGGAGGAGGAGGAGGAGGAGGAGGAGGAGGAGGAGGAGGAGCCTTCTGAGAGGGCCTGGCCCCTCTCGGACGCATGGTGGCTTCTCGGTCGCAGGTCGGGCCCCTGGCGTCCGTGCGGGACGCCCTTGCGACAGGCGCAGCTGCTTTCCTCCTCCTCCTCCTCCTCCTCCTCCTCCTCCTCCTCGCGCCCCGAGGCTGGAAGACTGCCGATAACCGACGACGGCGCCCGAAAACCACTGCCCCCCCGGGGCGGGCCGCCGATCCAAAGCCAAGCGCTGCCCGCCGACGGCCACGGCGGCGGCGCGGAGGGCGTGCCCCCTCTCCGGGGACTTCCTGCCGGCTCCCAGCGGCCCTGCCGCCGAGGACCTCCGCCCGCGAGGGAGGCAGGGCGGGGCCGCGGCGACGCGCGCGGGGCCCCGAGGCGGGATGGGCTTCCTCGTGTGCGCTGGCTCCTCAAAAATCCTGACGCTGATGCTGGTGCCGGTGCTGATGCTGAGGCTGTAATGACGATGCTGATGCTGACGCTGATGCTGCTGTTGATGTTGATGCTGCTGCTGCTGCTGCTGCTGCTGCTGCTGATTGATGGTGAGGGGGAGGCAGAGGAGGAGGCGGCGGAGGACGAGGAGGAGGACGAGGACGAGGAGGAGGATGGTGACGACGCTGACGATGCTGATGCTAACGCTAATGCTGCTGCTAATGATGATGGTCTGGAGGGGTGATGGTGGCGATGATGACGATGATGGCGATACTGATGCTGATGCTAATGCTGATGCTGCTGCTGCTGCTGCTGCTGCTGCTGCTGCTAATGATGATGGTGACGATGGTGACGACGATAGTGATGATGATCATGCTGATGATAGTGATCCTGATCATGCTGATGTTCATGATCATTATCATGGTGATGACTTTGACGATGCTGGTGATGATGATGATGATGAAGATGATGATGATGATGATGATGATGATGATGATGGTGATGATGATGATGATGATGATGATGATGATGAGTATGCTGATGCTGATGATGTTGATGATGGTGGTCATGATGCTGATTATGATGCGGGTGCTGCTGCTTATGATGATGGTGGTGATGATGATGGTGATGATGATTACGGCGATGATGGTGATGATGTTGATGATGCTGATGATGCTGATGACGATGATGACGATGATGATGATGATGATGAGTATGCTGATGATGATTGGTACGAGGAGGATGAGGATGAGGATGAGGATGAGGATGAGGATGAGGATGAGGATGATGATGATGATGATGATGATGATGATGATGATGATGATGATGATGATGATGATGATGATGATGACGCTGACGATGCTGATGCTGATGCTGATGCTGAAACTGCTGCTGCTGCTGATGGTGCTGGAGGGGTGATGGTGGTGATTATGAAGCTGCTGATGCTGATGCTGATGCTGATGATGCTGATGATGATGTTGCTAATGATGATGCTGGTTCTGATGATGATGAGGAAGCTAATGAAGGTGCTGATGATGATGCTGATGTTGAAGCTGATTCTGCCGATACTGATGCTGGAGGGCTGATGGATGTGCTGACGTCGATCAACATCGATGATGTTCATCACCACTTCCACCACCACCATCATCATCAGCATCAACAGCAGCATGATCACCATCATCGCCATCATCATCAGCAGCATCATCATCGCCGTCATCATCACCATCATTATCGTCAAAGGCCGCCGCGCGCTCAGGCCTTTCGGAGACTCAGCGGCCTCCAGCCAGAGCCCTCTCCGCCGAGCCCAGAGGCGGAGGGCCACACACGGCAGTCACCCCGTTCTCAGTGCCGCGATGTCTCGAGGCGCGTGCTCCAGCGTGCGGGCACCTCGCGCCTGATGGAGGACACTGAGAAGCCGCTGTGCCATGGTCGCCACCACTACGAGCAGCAGACGACGCTCACCCCACCACGTGCAGGAGACGCTGCGCGACGACTACAGGCTGCACTGGATAGCGTGCTCCAAGCTGCTGGACCCGCCACCTCTCATCACGATGCCGTTCCTCTTCCCGAACAACCCACAGCCGCACTTCATCGAGACCCACGCCCCCTCGATCAATTTCGCGAAGCTCACGAATCCAGACAGCCTCGCGTTCTACGTGACTTTCGTGATGATGAGGAACCCAGCCACGTACCACATGCCGCTCCCGACGGGCCATCACTTAACAGAGCATTTCAAGCGCCTCAGGAAGCTAGAGTTCGCCGACTCGAATTACACGATCTGCGCGCAGCCAGAGGTTCTCTCCCTCCTCGTCTATTTCGTGACTCCGCTGAAGATGAATTTCTGGCAAAACATCGCGAATTTCGACCTGCTTCCGACTCCAGCGCTCCTACGGGCCCCGTGCCCCACGCCCACCCACAACCACTTGGCGCCCCCTCCAACTCACCATGCCCACCACGCACCTCGCACGACCCACCCACGGATGGTGATCCCGACGCACGACTACCACAGGCCTCGCTCAAGCCGATCACCATCCTGGGCTGGGACCCCTTCTCGCTCAAGGGCGAACCAGGCCGACTCGACCTCATCTCCGACACGTGCCGCAGCTACCAGGCCATACTCTGTGTCGGCACGAAGATACGACAACGCACTCCCGACACGCCTCACCACGTGGACGAATCCCTGCATCATCACTGGGTCCACTTCGGATGGGGCCGCGGCGCCCACACCAACAGCTCTGCGGGCTGCAGCGTAGCTCTTGCCAAGCGCCACTTCCGACGCAGCGACATTGTCAAGATTCTCCACCCACCGACACCCGACCTCCGCGGACGAGCTGGAGCAGTTGAAGTACACAGAGGACCACTACGCCTGCGCTTCGTCACTGCCTACTTCCCACCACGCCCCAACGGACCTGGACAGCATCGAGCTTGGCGCCATGGATGTCAACGGCTCTGGTCCTGGGTGCTCACCGCCGTGCGCGACGTCCCGTCTCGTGTCACTCCGATCCTCTTCACGGACCTCAACCAGGGACTGGGCCGCCGAGCGCGGCAGCCGTTCACAGACACCTCCATCGGCCCACACCAGGGCGGCGACGAGACGGAGTTCGGCAGGTACGTCCACGACCAGATGCTCCGCAACGAACTCACGGCCTACAACACGCACGCGGACGTTGGCTACACGTACTATGGGCCCAAACGATCCCGCTCGCGCATCGACTACTTCATTGGCCCCGACAACGTCACTGAAATCATCAAGTACATCCGCCTCAACTGGAAGATCCACAGTATCCTACGGTGCCTCCACCACGCCCCCGACCACATCCCAATGGCCATGCAGCTCAAGGTCCCTGTCAGCAGCGGCTCTCCACTCCAGCACCACATACCTTGGGACTGGGGCCTCCTCGCAGCGGGACTTCAAGTTGGACACCAGCGTGCCACCTTCATTCAGGACGTCGCCACCACCATCGAGTCCCACCGCGAAGCCTTTCGTGTCATCAAAATGGACCAATTCCCCACCAGACACAACGCATTGCTGGCACACATCATCCGCGAGTGCAGCCGCAAGTACTACACCAAGGAGGGCCAACAACCACACTGGTACCAGCAGGCACGCCACGACCGCCTGGACCTGCTCAAGCTCCGAGCACACCACAGAGCGCGACGCCTACCCTTCAACAGCACCGTCCTTCGCGACATTCAACGTCAATTACGAGCCCACCAACGATGGATGGACTACTGGTGGAAGGCCAGTCTGGACCAGGACATACGAGACGCATGGGCATCACGTGACCTCTCTCGCGCGGCTCACCTCACCTACTTACGCGCGGGCCGCCGCACTGGACCACGACGACGCTCATGCCTTGCGCTGCCGTCCACGCGCCCCGCAGCCGCTGAGTACACCGCCGCCCTCGGCGAACTGGCTATCAATGGAGGCATGACGGCCACCCCCGCCTACGTCAGCATGTACATCGACGACCCCGCTACCATCCCGCGCATGCTCGAGCGCGCCAACGACTTGGCACCGGTGGGGGAATTCACTGGTGCACCCGACACCGCCGACGTCGAGGCCGCCGCTGAGGAGCTAGAGCACATCCAGAAGCGTCTGTGGCGAGAGAAGCGCCGCAGATACAACCCGCCCTGGGCATGGCCACTCGAGATCACCATTATGCTACTCAACCCGCAGTACCTGACTCGACCAGGCCTCCAGCAGGTAGGACTGGGACACGCCGATGCCGACTACCAACGCGCCGACCCACTCGCTCACCACATCAGCCCCCCGAGCAAGCGCAAACTCCAGCTCGACCACGCCCACTGCGACACCATCATCCAGACCTTCGTCAACCTACTTGCCCACGTCCATCGATGTGGATCCCTACCAGCTCAAGCCGTGACCAGTCATGCAGTTGCGATCGGCAAGAAAGGCAAGAGCCCCACTGGCAACGCCATCACCGACATCCACGCCAGCGTTCGTCTGCTTCATTGTTTTGATCATTTTTGGCGTCTCTATCTCCGTGTCGGATTAGTCCAATACGGTGCGCCCTACGCACCACCATCATGGGCCTACGGCGGCATCTACTCCCGCCGACGTGAGTCTCTCATGTTGATCGCCAAGTTGCTGATTTGGAAGTTACGCGCCGCCCGCCTCTCTTTCATTGCGAAGTCTTATGATATGAGGAACGCCTTCGCCACGGGCGACCACCAGAGGCTCCTCGCCGCTCACACTGTTCGGTGCACGGACGAGCATTTTCATCCCCTCCTTGAGCAGCACCGAGCCGAAGCGGTAGTTTACCTCCAGGCATCCGACACTAGCCTTGCCCTTCGGCCAGGAACAGGAGGAAGGATGGGAGATTCGAATGAACCAGAGCTTTTTATGGACAGTTTTTTATCCTTTGGTGCCCAGGTGGAATGAGGAGATGGCCGAAGTTCAAGGAAACCCGTTTCAAGTTGTCTGCCCTTTTACTTCTGCGCAGTTCGATGCGAACCTGGGCGCGTTCATAGATGACCTCTTTAAGATTATGCTGGTGCCCGACGGCACCGCGCTCCAGGCCCTTCAGCTAGATAAGATCGACAACAATTCGCTCTCGGAGGCCCTGAACTTAGGCGGGTACGCTCAGAATGTAGGTAAGCAGGACACCCTCGTATCTCTTGGAACTCATGGGGCCACCAAAGACGCAGAACGTCACATATCTGGGAATGCAGTCCAGGATCTTATTCATCTTGGGGGATATGTCCACGTCTCGAACAACAACAGACGTGAACTCGAAGCTAGGCTCCAGTCGGCCAACGTTGGATGGACGCGCTTGGGTAACTATTGGTTCTCAGGAGGCCCTTGGAAGGCAAAGCGACTTTCTTTCCTCTCGAACGTTGCGGGGCGTCTCTGGTCAGGCCTGGAAGGCTATGTACTCCGTCCTCGGGAATTTCATCGTCTAGATAGTTCACTCGCACGCAAACTTAGAGCTATGATGCAAGGCAAGGCACACACCGTCGATGACCAGAACACTCACCACTCTCTCACTACCCAGCAGTTGTTTCAGGAGTGGCAGATCGCACCGTCGGCCATCGAACTTCTCGTGCGCAGACTCAGCTGGTGGCAGAGTATCATCCGCGACCCGACCCACCATGGCCAGTTTCTCGCTCTCTTTTTTGGACGATGTCGGTTCGAGCAGCAGGCGGCCACAAGCAACCGCCCTGTCAGTGCGGCCACCCTCAGTGAGCAGGGTATCATCGCTGGCGGCTCGAGCATTCACCCGTGGGCACAGCAGCTCGCGGACGATCTTCTTTGCCTGGCTACACACCCAATTCGCGAGAGCTTTCAGGAGGTGTGGCAGCCGACCGTGGTCAAAACATTGTGGGAGGACGAACGCGTTCGAGAGACCTTTTTGTATTGCGACGTTCGAGCACGTCGGGCCTCCTACTGGACCTCCCAATGGCCCCCCCCAGGACACATCATCCTCAACGACTCCCTCCCCTCTGCGAATGCGCTCGCCGAGACCGTCAGCGATGACGAAATCAACAAACCGTTCGAGTGCACGATCGAGCATTGTGGTAGGCGCTTCAACACGTTGAAACAGCTCGGTACGCATCAAACTAAATCAAGGGGGGTGGGACATGGGATGCCGTCTATCTTAACTACAATACAGGTGGATAACAGATGCCTAGTATGCAACACAACATTCCTCAACATAGACCATGCAGTACGACACTTAAGGCGGGTCTGGCATGCGGGCCGATGCATACCTGAACTTACTCACCATGTTTATCCCTGGGTTCCAGCCACATGTACTACATGCACTACATGCCCTCTTCGTGAATATGATCTAGATCCCGCATGTCATCATGGATACCAGGCCCCCGAACAGCTACGGAGACATCTTCTCTCTCACCTCCCGCCGTCGCCATCGGGTTCCCTGCTCAAGCCAGTTCTCAGGACGGAGTTCCGCTCGACTCGATCGAGCCCAGTGTTGCGAGTTCCCCGCCATTCACAGCACCCGCGGCCGCGCGTGATCGAGGACGCCGCTGGTGCACGGGCAGTGCTGCGTCGATCAGCCGACCTTATCCTGAGGCCAGGACATCCGCTAGACGTGCGCCGACAGATCCGCAGGGCCTCTCGACGTGCAGACACGCCAGTGCCCCCAGTCTGTGAGCCCGTGAGCAGCGAGGTCAGAGCTTCGACGCCTGCACTCCCACCGCCTCCTGAACAGCATGACGGCAGCCGCAGCCACCAGCGAGGAACGAGCAGCAGGCGCGGCGACGGCGCCGCCCGCAGGGAAGGGCCCTCCGCCGACGCCAGCCAAGGCGGCTCGGGCGCCCTGGCGTATCCCCCTGGACTCCTCAGCGGGCTCCAAGGGATCTGGCAGCGCCTCCAAGCCAGGGGAGCCACCGCAGGCCAAGGCGCGCCTGCGATCGCCTCCAGCGCGGCAGCCGCCAGCGGGCCAGCGCTCGAAGTCCCCGCGCCCCCCAGTGGCCGCGGACGAGGACGAGCAGCTCGCGGGCGAGGCCGCAGCCGCGGGCGCGCAGGGCCTGCGCAGGAAGCGCAGGGGCGGCCGCAGGGCCAGGCGCGGCGCGCACAACGACAAGGTCTGGAGCAGCAAGGACAATAACCTTCTGAGTCTCTTGCGATCCACGCTGAAGCTGCTGCTCCAGACCACCCACGAGACCAGACTCAACAGCAGCATCGGCATCGACACGTACACGATGAGCAGCAAGCACCCCGTCATCGACGGGATCACGAACGAGCTCGAGGGCTACAAGCAGCTCCTCGGTCAGCTTCGCAGGAGCGGAGAAGCCGCCGACAAGGCCAGGCTCAAGGAGATAGGCTCTCCCGCTCCAGCGTTGGGCCTCGCAGCCCTCGAGAGCCTCCAGAAATGCGACATCGGGGGCTCGCTCAAGGCAGAGATCGCCACGTACCTCGAGAAAGTACAGCCGATGGACCCAGATGCGGAGGTGGAAATCTCCAAGGACGATCTGCAGACCGCCATCAGCTTCATACGGCTCGAGAGTTGTTTCGACACGGACAAAATGAAGCTCATCATCGGGGCCCCAACCTGGGAGGGGCGCCTCATCATTCAGAAGGCGCTGGCTTCAGAGGGATCGGCTCAGCATCACCGCGGAGTGGCGCCGGCAGGATGGCTCGAGGAAGAAGTAGCTCATTGGCTGGAGACTCTCGAGCAGTAGCAATTCGTTTCGTCAGAGGTGAATCCCTGCCTGCGTCCAGGAGCGGTGCGACAGTCCACCATATGCGCGCCGCTCCCCTCACGCCACCAGTTTCTTTAGATGCGCCAGCGCCATCTCATGGCACGCCCGTTTCAGTGCCCATGGCGAGTTCAGCCCAGCCAGTGCTTGCGTCGCCCAGCCTGCCAGCGCAGGTCGCGCCACTTTCAGCCTCTGTGCTATTTCAACCCGTGCCTGTTTCTTCGCTAGCGCCAGTTGAAACCCTCCCAGTGCCATCGAATGCGCCCGACCAGCCGAGGCCGCCCAGTCTCTTGTCACTGGCCCTCTCAGGTAGCACGCAGGCCCCATTTGAGTTTGACGCCGAAGAAGAGGCGGCACAGTTTATCTTCTCATAGAAGTCTTCCGTTACGAGGCAGCGCAGCGCAGCCCCCCTGTGCCAGCGCCCTCGCGACAGCGGCCCAACGAACGGGGCCTCGCGAGTTCCTTGGCACTCTGCGGCGGATCAACCTTTTACGATTGCAAGCTGGCTCCAGTTTGATTGGTCCTGATGCCGAGTAAAACAAATCATTATCGTCACTGCCTCTATCCAACTCTCGCCTCCTGGTGCTCGGGGTCGCCCCCTCCTGCAGCCAGCGCGAGGGCTACAGTCGGGGCCTTGAAAAAGGAACCCTTTTCGTTGGGGAGGGGCTCCGTGTTCCTTAATTGCTCCGCACCTTGCCTAAGGTTTTCCTTAAGTTTTCGACGGGACATCGAAGTTTAACCAATGGAAAAAAGGGGCCTCGTTCCTCATTTAGGGTTCCTTAGGTCAACGCCTCGACTGTATGAGCAGCCCCGACCTTGCAGTGGTACCTTGGCGCCTTCCCGGGGCATCGGGCCCTTGGCGAGGGGGCTCCCGTTCCTGATCCCGCGCTCGCGCGGCCGTGCTTTTGACTCGCCCCCCCCCCCCCCCCCCTCTCGCGGCAGCGCGCGGAATGGTGGGAGGAGGAGGATGAGGAAGAGGAGGAAGGGAAGAAGAGGAGAAGGCAAGGGAGAGGGAGGAGGGGGAGGAAGAGGAGGAGGAGGAGGAGGAGGAGGAGAAAGAGGAAGTGAAAAAGATGAGAAGAGGGAGGAGGAAGAGGAGGAAGAGGAGGAACAGGAGGGAAGGAAGACGAGGAGAAGGAGAGGGAGGAGGAGGAAGCGAAGGAGGAGAAGGAGGCGGATGACGATGATTATGAAGATGATGATGATGATGATGATGTTTCTGATGTTGATGCTGATGGTGATGTGGATGTGGATGACGATGCTGATGAAGATGAAGATTATGATGATGCTGATGATGCTGCTGATGATGAGGCTGATGAGGACGACGATGATTATGATGATGACGAGGATACTGCTGCTGATGCTGATGATGGGGATGATGCTGCTGATGACGATGATGGTGAAGAGGACGATGATGATGATGTTGATGCTGATGTTGATGATGATGATGATGATGATTATGATTATGATGATGATGAGGGTGCTTATGTTGATGATGAGGATGCTGCTGATGATGATGAGGAGGGGGAGGAGGAGGGGGGAGAAGAGAAGGAGGAGATTGGGAGGAGGGGGAGGAGAAGGAGGAGGGCGAGGGAGGAGGGGGAGGAGGAAGAGGAGGAGGAGGAGGATAAGGAGGAAGAGGAGGAGGAGGAGGGAGGAGGAGGAAATTGAAAGAAGAGGAGGAGGAGGCGGAGGAGTAGTGATACGAATAGTACGGCTACTACAACTGTGATTAATAATCCTAGCGATATTCCTAATAGTAGTAGCAGTAGTCGTAGTAGTAGTAGTAGTAGTAGTAGTAGTAGTAGTAGTAGTAGTAGTAGTAGTAGTAGTAGTAGTAGTAGTAATAGTAGTAGTAGTAGTGTAGTAGTAGTAGTAGTAGTAGTAGTAGTAGTAGTAGTAGTAGTAGTAGTAGTAGTAGTAGTAGTAGTAGTAGTGCTAGTAGTGGCAGTAGTAGTCGTAGTAGGTAGTAGGCAGTAGTAGTAGTAGTCGTAGTCGTCGTAGTAGTAGTAGTAGTAGTAGTAGTAGTAGTAGTAGTAGTAGTAGTAGTAGCAGTAGTAGTAGTAGTAGTAGTAGTAGTAGTAGTAGTAGTAGTATTAGTCGTAGTCGTAGTCGTAGTCGTAGTAGTAGTAGTAGTAGTAGTAGTAGTAGTAGTAGTAGTAGTAGTAGAAGTAGCAGTAGCAGTAGTAGTTAGTAGTAGTAGTAGTAGTAGTAGTAGTAGTAGTAGTAGTAGTAGTAGTAGTAGTAGTAGTAGTAGTAGTAGTAGTAGTAGTTAGTCGTCGTCGT